GTCAGTATTAACGACAAAGTCAAATTAGTCATATATGAAAATGTACTTGACATTTTTACTGTCCCATATGGTCAGAAGTAAGTGAATCAGCCTTTTGTCTTCAGCTTTAAAGATGCATTTTAGATCTAAAAGAATGTTCTGCTTTTAAAAGTTAAAGAAGTTGTTAATCGTGTCATCGTCATGTGCAGATTAACGCTACACGGTATGTACTGTGTCTGTCTGAATATGGCTGTTTTTAATCCCTAAAACCTACATATGATTAAATACTTGACACACAATAAGATTTTTTGATTTTGCATCCCTCTGCATGGCTGAATCTACAGATAAGGTGCAATAACATCAACTTTCTTATCTGAATTAAAGTTGATAAACCAGTAGACAGCTGATTCAGGTGTTTGGGACTGAAGCCACTGAGCAATTGTCCCCTGTTTTTAAATCAACCACTGTTTGCTGACATTTTAACTGTTTCTCTGAATCACTTTGAACGAACTGGAGCGGCACACACAGGCCATGAATCTCCAGGAATAATGGAACATCTGCTGCAGTGCACATGCTAATGAGCTCATGCGTCCCAGGACTCTGCACGACTGATAACACTCAAAATAAATCACAGCAGCTTAGAAATCGTTCGTTCCGTGTTGTTTACCTTGACTGCGACATGTGGTCTCGCAAACAGTCGGGGCGCTTTTTAAATTTCTTTAAAATCCGATTAACAAACCGCAGCGCCACGCCTGTCACATCTTTACGCGTACATGCGCAGTAGCAGCGTGGTGGGTGGAGGACGATTTTTTGTTTATTTTCGTGGCCAGCTAGCCAGCTAGCGCGTTGGTGTTAGCTCACACGGATTTTCACATTTTTATTCAAGTGCACCAAGTCGAACAGATAAACGAGCGCGGCTTCAGCTAATATGATACTCTAATTTTTCGTGAGGTGGTTTTGGGCCCGACACAGCAGAAGGTTAGCGAGCGAGCTAGCTTCAAGTTGATGAATGCGCGTTAGCGTTACGTGTTAGCGTACGAGCTAGCCAGCGAGCTACACTAATATTAACGTAAGCCAGTTAACGCTATATAGCGTATCGCTATTTAGGTAGATAAAACCACTCACTTATTATCTTCTACTACTGGGACTAACACTACTGCGCGAAGAAATCACGGTAAGTTTACAATTCCGCCTGTTTTGATTGGGCTCTTAGATAAATCACTGCTTGCTTGACTAGCGTTAGCTCACAGCTGCTAACGGAATCTACGTTAGCTAACGCGAATGCAGCCACTTAACATTAGCCAGGCGTTGCTCGCTAATTTTATCCCCTTCAAAAAATACTTTTGTCAAACATGTGCACTGGTTTAAATGCATAAGCAATAACCGAGCAGTGTAGTTTAGGCCAGCACTGATTAGAAGCGTATGCTACCTGTGTTTATTCGCTGTAGTAAATTATCCATCAGGGCTAACGTTAGCCACGTTTGTTGTGAAAATGCTTATGAAAAACGGAGGAGGGAAGGTTCGTTTGATGTTCAGATGAGACCCACTTTAGAAAACCGACGTTTTAGATGCATTAGAAAATGTTTTAGTTTTGCATTTCATGGGATACTGATTGTATTTGGGTTTAACAACCAGTGAGGGTTCCTGCATACATGAATGGGAACTTTGGTGGAGACCTTATCAGTTACTTACATTGCATGTATACCCCCATTAGGATGGGTATGTGGACACAGTAATAAACAAAAAATGTACAGACAACTTAAATACTACCGTATGGTCCTTATACGTTGCTGGAAATCTGGTTTGCCCACCAACTATGCCTACTGCCTGAAGGGTTAAGATTGTCAGTTCTCCTCCTACTTCTGAATTAGGTCAAGGTGATGCACTCATTGTATGTTGAGTAGAGATAAACCATTTGTTGGTTTCAAATCGATAATGTGTTTAGTACATTGCAAAGACCGCAATTTATCATATACATTATGCATTGTGTCTGACCCAAGGTTTATTTGCTGCTCCTGAGTCATGATTGACATCACCGTTACAATATCAGGGATTGTTTGCAGAAAGGTCCTATTAGTTTCCTATTGCAATTATCCATCCATCCATCTATTATCTATACACCGCTTAACTGACAACCAAGCACACTCACATTCACACCTACGGACAATTTTAGAATCACCAATTAACCTCAACATGTTTTTGGACTGTGTTGGAGGAAGCCGGAGAACCTTTTGCAATGATTTAAGTTTTTATTATCGTTACTGTATTTGACTTAATGTAGTCACAGCTGATATAAAAACTGTTCTATCTCATGTGCAATTTAACAAATGTAATAAATACGTGTTTGAAGCAGTTTCTATATATACATAAGTCGATTGCACGTGATGTGGTGATGCTCCATCACGTCTTAAATACAAATTATGGAGCAATGCTTTAAGAAGTTCTATCACAATCTGACAGCAAAATCGCAATTAAATGTTATCCCCAAATCATTTGGCCCTAATTTTGAGTGTAAGTTTGTGTAATGCAGTGTGACATTCTGTTTGGCATAACCAAATGAACTCACTCAAGACGGTGTTTCTCGTGTTTTAGGTTGCGGAGCGTGGGCTGCGTTGGATTAACAGTAATTTCACCGTGTCACTTCTACTTGTAAAGGAATAGAGGATAGAACTGGAAAGCCTCCCAAAGGTTGAGACCTAAGGAGCAACATGTCAATCACAAACACTCCCACAAGCAACGATGCCTGCCTGAGCATTGTGCACAGCCTCATGTGCCACCGGCAGGGGGGAGAGAGCGAAAGCTTTGCCAAGCGGGCCATCGAGAGTCTTGTCAAGAAGCTGAAGGAGAAGAAAGATGAGCTGGATTCCCTCATCACAGCTATCACTACGAATGGGGCTCATCCTAGCAAGTGTGTAACCATACAGCGAACTCTGGATGGACGCCTACAGGTATGGCAGCAGATACACGGTGCAGAGTTTGTTGGTGTGGCTCCTTGTAATTGTAAGAGAACATTATGAGAAACGCTACCTGATTTAATAGATCATCTCCTCTCTGTGCTTTAGGTTGCAGGGCGTAAAGGGTTTCCCCATGTTGTCTACGCACGACTGTGGCGATGGCCGGATTTACACAAGAACGAGTTAAAACACGTAAAATACTGCCAGTATGCCTTTGACCTGAAATGTGACAATGTTTGTGTCAATCCATACCACTACGAGAGGGTTGTCTCTCCAGGAATTGGTAAGAAACACGTTTGTTAGTCTTGGTTTGATGTTAATGTTTTCGGCTATTGATAAATATAAAATATTACAGGTACGCTGAGTTATTGTGAACGAATCATGTTTGATCAATTTAATTCCATGCTTGTGTCGTAATTTAGCTCATGTTCAGATGCTGTATGTTGGTTATTGTGCTAATTCTTATTCAGCATGTAAGCTAACTGACTAAAAATGTATTAATTTCTCTTCTTGTTGATGTATTTGCAGACTTATCAGGGCTCAGCATCACAAATCCAGGTAGGAAGATGCTCAGGTTTTCTTGTTTCCTTTTCAAAGATTATCTGGATGTATGAATCTTAACCATGTCTCTGTTTCTTTTTTGCTAGGTCCGCTCTTGGTAAAGGACGAATATGACTATGATAACCAGCAATCTCACTCCAGCTCTGAAAGCCACCTGCAGACTATCCAGCATCCACCGTCAAGGCCGGGTCCACAGGAGACATTCAGCAGCCCGGCTCTTCTACCGCCATCGGAGGGCAGCAGTTCAGCTTCAACCTCTGCTTTCTCAACTATCAGTGCTGGACCTTCAAGTGAGAAACGATTGTCATGTTAAATAATACACTCACTTCAGAATACTATGGACGTTGATAGGGTTTAAATAAGAATCTGTAACGGGTTTATCTGGTTTAAGTAAAATTGAGTTTGGATTCTTAGTTTGATTTGGTCTGTTTTTACCTTTTTGATTGGACGCATAGCACAGAGTTCATGTTGATATAAATTTGGTAACACAATTCTTTTTACATTTCTATTTACAGATCCTCCCCCCAACTGGACCAGAGGCAGCAGCTTCACTCCTGCTGTGCCTCAACACCAGAATGGGCATCTACAGCATCATCCACCCATGCCTCACACGGGACATTACTGTAAGTGAATGCAAATAAGCTCTTCATAAACAGTCTATATCTTCTCAGACGAGTTAGAAGCGTACACATATCCGTTTCCCTTTCTGAGCCAATGGAACTGATGCGTTATTAGAATAATGAATGGTTAGTTTAGATAAAGAGTGACTGTTACAGCTGGAGGAGATGAGTAGTCAAGGAAGACATTAAGGCGTCAGTTCACAGGTGATTCTGGGACAAGGAAGCTCAGATAAAGACTTACTTATTGAAGATATCAGTGTTAATACCTTTAATGTGGAAGTGAAGGGAAATTATCAGACGTAAAAGTTGATTTAAAAATGATAACTGCAGCACGAAGACATTGATGGTTAAGACTGAAATAGTTTTCCTCAGTAGACATTTATTGATGCATTATGCGTGTATGAGTAAGTGACAAGCTGAAGGAAATGAGTTTTTGTGAGCTGAAGATTAACTTTAGATATTTAACCTCCACCCTCGACACTTGATGAATTCTTCAGCTCCGGCTTCAACGGCTGCACAGTCTGCGCTCATTTTTTGAAGAATATATCACGACTAAAGTACAGGAATGGTTTCTGAATTGTTTACTCAATATTCATATCGACATGTTCTCGCAGGGCCTGTTACCAATGAAATTGCATTCCAGCCCCCCATATCCAATCATCCTGGTGAGTGTCAAGCTGCAGATGGAAGTCAGCCCACATATTTATTATTAAAACAGTATAGAACTTTCAATACATCACAAGTGTAACTCATATGACGTCTGGTTCCAGCTCCAGAATACTGGTGCTCCATTGCGTACTTTGAGATGGATGTCCAGGTCGGAGAGACGTTTAAGGTGCCGTCCACATGTCCCATAGTGACTGTGGACGGTTATGTGGATCCATCAGGAGGGGATCGCTTCTGCTTGGGTCAGCTGAGCAACGTCCACAGGACGGAGAACATCGAGAGAGCCAGGTATGCTGCCACGTTTAGAGAGAGGTCGTCCTGTAGTTCCTCAGGCAGTTCCATTTTAATTTACAGTATGTATCTTGATTATGAATAGTGAATGACAGTGACAGCTATTTGACAGTCTGTTTCATATGACTTGTGTCTTTGAGAGTCTTGAAAGTCACTCTGTAATTAATAAATTACTATTAATGACTCGCCTCTCTGCCTCCTGCTTAGACTTCACATCGGCAAAGGCGTGCAGCTGGAGTGTAAAGGGGAAGGAGACGTGTGGGTGCGCTGTTTGAGCGATCATGCAGTGTTTGTGCAGAGCTACTATTTGGACCGAGAGGCTGGACGTGCTCCTGGTGACGCAGTGCACAAGATCTACCCCAGTGCTTACATCAAGGTGAGAGTGCAATGCTCGCAAAGTGAAAAGCAGAAAGTAGATGTTATAGAAACTTTATGTTGTTTCTGTCAGAGGTTCTATTTACACACCAGACAGCGTGATTAGCACTGAAATGGGAGTGTGATCTTACCATTGATGACACTGTACTGTTATGTAAAAGAAGTTCAGCTCAGAGTTGGACTAATCACTCTAGAGCATGTGGAATACGCCCCTTATTGCCGTTTTGTTGAAGAGATTTTTTTTCTACATGTTCCACCTCTGAGCCGCTTATGAACCTAATCAAGCTAACATTGAATTCCATAATGTTTGTGGACCAATCTCTGCGCTGTCCTCCTGCCAGGTGTTCGACTTGCGTCAGTGCCACCGGCAGATGCAGCAGCAGGCAGCGACAGCTCAGGCAGCAGCTGCAGCGCAGGCAGCGGCGGTGGCCGGGAACATTCCTGGGCCCGGCTCTGTGGGAGGCATCGCCCCTGCCATCAGTGAGTGCTCTTACTGCTGCTCTCAGCCTCGGACAAGTGTATTATTATGATTGCTTCTCATTATTATCCTCTGTGGGGGCTGTGAGTCCAGACTAATATCAGGGACTTTATAAAGACACCAGCTTTCACAGCACTGTGACCCAGAGAACTACAGAGCAGCATGGGCAGAGAGAAACAGCCAGCTGTGTCAGTTTATTAAAGGATGAGAACAAACTGGGACCAAAGGCAGAATTTTCTTAATGGATATCTGTTCAATTAACATATCTTAAATATACCCTTCCAAAATAGTTATATTATCACAAATCTGGAATGTACAGGCCTTTAAACACAAAGAAAATTTCAGTCATGTGTTAAACTCGAACCAGAACTCCGACCAGACCAACGTCCACTGACCAAAACACATTTCTGAGTGGAGCGGGAGTTTTGCAAAATTGGACTTTAGTGGATTTTGGCCAAGTTTTAAGAAAACATCTTGCTCATCTTCAGCTATATGTTCTTAAGATGAGCAACATTTACAATGGACCCAGACCTTGTTGAACAAAGTATAACTTGGCCGTACCATGGAAGTTTTCTTTGGTGTTAGAAAATGTGACTCCTCTTAGTGTTGTGATATTAATATTTAAATATGGATATAGACATAGTTTACCAACAGAAATAAAGCTATGAAAACCTTTGATTCAAGAGTTTAAACAAACAGGATATGCTTATTATTGTTTAAGGAGAAGGACCGAATGGAATCATGTTTTTGAGTTTAGAAATGCACTTCGTCAGACTTCAGTGCCAAGTCGCTCAAGTGGAAGACTTGTGACTGCACTGCTCTCCTCTGTTCATTTATTCAATCTGTTCTGAAACAGCTTTTCATTAAATAAGCATTGAAGTGTATACCAAAAAGTTTTCTTTGCTTTACCTCTCGTTACTTTTCAGACTCATTTATAAAATGCTTTGCTTAGCACTGACATGCATTTCCACATAGTTAAAATGAAAGGAACACTTCCAGCACATGTGTTTTGTAGAATTTCACATTCAGTCCAGTGTGGTCTGATCTGAGTGGGAGATGTGAGTCTGTCAGTTGTACTTTTTTTCTACTTGACGGCGTGTCTACTTGGTATTTTCCAACTTTTACTACTAACTCGGCCGACGTGTCTCTGCCTCGGCTTGGCCTGTAGCTCCACATCGATCTAAAAGTTGCTGCCTGCATTTCCCCTGTAGGTTTGTCTGCTGCTGCAGGCATTGGGGTTGATGACCTGCGCAGGCTGTGCATCCTGCGGATGAGCTTCGTGAAGGGCTGGGGGCCCGACTACCCACGGCAAAGCATCAAAGAGACGCCGTGCTGGATCGAGATCCATTTACACCGAGCTCTGCAACTACTGGATGAAGTTCTGCACACCATGCCCATAGCTGACCCTCAACCTCTTGACTGAGTTAAAAGACATGAACTGTACAAAAAATGAGAAAAGAACAAAAGAAAAAAAAAGAAAAAAAAAAAAAAGAATCAAGTCTGTACTTTTAGCAGACCGCTCCACCTGTAGGCCTGGAGCGCCCAAGGAGGACTGCAGACACTGGCTATGCTGAGTAGGTTGTAGGATCAAGGACGTAAACGCCGGCAGTATATTCCAAACGCTTTCAAATCCAGCGCTGCAAGCAGTTGCGGGTACGCCGAGCGAGACTCCAGGTCTGTAAGTTCAGCGACTTCCAAACAACAGCTGGAGGAACATGTGAGTCACACTGGAAACATGCCGGCAAGAGCATGAAATAGGAAGCCAGGATTCTGACATTGTCCTCTAATTGGAGTAAAGTGAACGAGGCCTGTGGAGCTCGCTGCAGATAAAGAACTGAGGTTAAAAGAGGCAATAATCATTCTGTTAGTCCCAGTGCTGTGTGAAACAAACACCACAAGAGAGTGTCCAAGAATAAATAATTCAGTTGTCTTTTGTTGTTTTTTTTTTTGTGTGTATATTTACGATTTTTAAACTATCTGGCTTCAACAAAAAAGTGAAGTCGAGCATCATGTGGCACATAGCACTGGATGCTAACCTGTTGTTTCCTAAATGTGGTTTCAGCTGGAATATACTGCCGGTGCAGTCCTCCTTCGTTGGCCGCTCCACGGCCGATGCAGCTTCACACCAGTGGAGTTATTTCCCCTCTCACAGATCAGGACATTTATGTAAAATCATGTTCTTACATTATTCATGTTCTTGTAAAATGTAATCTTAAATATTTTTCAATGCTCACAGCCCCTCCCCCCTTTTGATGTGTTTTCTTTGATTTAATATCCTCCTTTCAGATTGTTTTTATTGACACAAAGAGCATTTGAAAAGCGAGTTAAAAGCTGAACGCGGCTTCTTTTTCAACATCATAAAAAGCTTCCGTTATTCTACCACCAGTCAAGGCTGTTGTTTCATTGAAAAGTGATGTTTTGTATTGAGAAATTTCAAACCCCAAATTTAATCGAAATGATAAAATATCCTCCCCCCTCCCAAAAAAAAAAAAGAAAAAAGACTATAACGCCTGCATTAATATTATCTTATTGTCATTTTTGTTTTGGATTAGATGCCCACATAGTGTCCATTAGCACTTTATTAACTTTTCTTTCGTCTCGTTTCATATAGTCTCATTTGTGGTTACTTGTTGTACCCATATAATCTCTTAGCATAGTCGAAACCTTTTTCTTGCTATTGATGAAATCCATGAAAATATGTGGTTCAGTGTGCCGCCTGCCCGAAAATCCTCATCCAGTATCGAGTTGGAAAAGGTGCATCTTTGATACTGAAGAGACGTTTTTGGGTGGAGCGTCACTTCTAAGATGACTCCACCACCCACCCACCCACTTCAATTAGAGAACAACTTGGATGACACTTATTCTAGACAACAGCTGAGTAAGCGAGGAGAGAACTGTGAGAGGAAGTGTAAGCCATATTGATGCCAAATATACTATATAAAAGTTAAAAGAAGATATCAGATTAAGTCATTTCAGTATTACGTCGCTCGTGAAGGCTTCCTTTGAATTATCCGAACCATTTTTTTTTTTTTGCTCGGCACTATTTGATCAAACGATATTTTGGTATTTGGAGCTCTGTTTACCTACAGCTGTTGCAGTATTTTATACTCTTTTTGCTACCTTTACAGTGATGAACCATTCTGGTCATAATCAAAAAGAAGTTATTTAAAAAGAAAAAACAAAAAAAAGAAGAAGAATGCTGTACAATTTTCAGGAAATGCAAGTTCATCTTAATCTTTACAATTATGTCATACAATCTCAATACATAATGGAGTTTGAATGATATTGGTGTTTATATATGTATGAATATGGTTGAATAAAATTTAATGGGCTAACCTTTATCGGGGTCGTTCGATCAGTTGTGCGAGAAAGGACGCCGGCGTTTGAACAAGAAAACGTTTATTTACTGCAAAGACAAGTCACAAATTTTAAGAAAACAACACTAAGAAGCTAGCCTGAGCTGAGATCTGAAATATTCAGAAAACGAAACTACATGTGTCTTTAATAGTTTCTATAATCATCAATACGACACACTAAAATGATAATGTCTTTGTAAATATAAAAGTCCCCCAATTGTCCTCGTTTTTTTTTTTTTTTTTGTCGTTTTTTTTTTGTTTTGTTTTGTCTTCGTCATGTAAAATACACAATACAAATCACCCTACACACATTGGTTCGCTTGCCAATTTGAGAATATACATTATATGAAGAAAACTTAACGGCACACGAAAAGAAAGTCACGTGAAATTTTGTGTGTATATATTATATCAGATACTATACATTATCCAGAAAAGAGGAGAGAAAAAAAACAAAAAAACAAAAGAAATCACAAAAAGCACTTTAGCCAACATATCAGATAAAATGTTCACCAAAAAGAACAAATCAAATAATTAGGACACAAATAAATATACCTTTTTTTTCCCCCTCCCTCCCCAGTTTTTGATATATATACACATTTTAGGGTGAATCAAAAATAAAAACCTTCCCCAGATGCCACTGCCAAATGCTTGTGCTTGCATTAGAGCGTGCTACAGATGGCCACGACTCACTAGACTGTCAAATGGCACTTGAAAAAAAAAAAAAACAACAAAAAAAAAAGAAAAATCAATATACAAATCTCAAACAGGTCACAGCATTCAGAAAATATCATTTTGACAAAAAGAAATCACGATCATGAGAAAAAACAACTCAGAGCATTTTTTTTTACTTACAGTAACTCTCCTGGTTCATTAACCAGTTCTATACAATAAAAAGTTGTTTGCAGGTAATCTACCGTGTGTAATTTACTCTCTCTGTGTGTGTGTCTGTGGTGTCACGTCCAGTAAATAATAAATAGTCCAGTCTGAGGACAGGTCTTTCTGCTTCCTCAGCCCCGGTTTGTCTTCTCAGTGGCAGCACCTGTGCAATGAAAATGTCTGCTCTGTAGCCTCTTATCTGTAGCCCACCAGAGACCCAAGAGTCACCCAGGCCATCTGCTCTGGCCGGGGCGAAATTAAAGGCACTGGAGTCTGCTATGGGTCAGTGAAGCTGCCATGTTGTCCAGGTGAAGAGGCATTTCTCAGCTTTACGCTCCTATGACAAGGAATAGCTTATATCTTCTTCTTTTTTTTTTCTTTCGTGGTTGGAAATGGGCTCATTTGCAAACAGCAGATACAAAAAAAAAAAACAATCTTACCACTTAATTTTCAAAGACACTGAGAAATAAAGTACAATTGTGTTGGCAGCATTAAGTCCAGCGTTACAACCAGGCAGGCTTTGAGATGCAGAAAGTTTAAATCACTGTCTGGCACTGTCTGGCTAAAAAACAAAACAACAAGAAAAAACTGGGGGTAAGAATTCGATTGACAGTTTTCTAGCAGCACATAGCAGGTGTGCGAGACCAGAAAGCACTTAACGATCCTAAAGCACACAATTAGAGATTTAAAGAAAAACATCTTTTAAGCCATTTTTTTCCACATCAGGCACAAAATAATGTTCAGTAACCTTCTACAGTGTTCATATATGAGGATTTAAAAAAATAATTCAGCGAGAGAAAGGTCAAAATAAATTCCTAACGGTACATCCAGATTTAATAAAGTTTTCCAGACCCATCACTTTTTACAGTGCTCGTCACGATTCCATCTCTCACAGTTGTGTGAACGCAGATTTAAAGGGAGGAAGTATAAGAGATGATCTGGGGGTTTCCATTTTTGTATCTATTCACTGAATATTCTTTCTCCCAACTTGCACCCAGCAGTTTAATTCCAAGCGTCTGGGAGCGATCTCTCCTTCAAGTTCATAGTGGTCACGGACTGATGTAAACAAAACGCCTCGGGGCCGTCAACTCGCAGCTGCTTACAGCGCGGTTCGTTGGCCTCTTCTCGCAGACTTTTCAAACTGCCTTTCAATCAATATAGTTAGAAAGTCAGATTGGTGCGCGCTCAGTTCCTAGATGAGGTCAGGCAGACATTTCAAGCCTGCTGGGTTGAGATGTCTGCCTTTGTAAGGCTATAGTATCAGATGTGTAGCATAGGTTGAACCAGTGAGGAACGTGGCTTTTGGGTGGATTCAGTTTTCAGATTCCCTCCCCCCTCCAAAAAAAAAAGTGTCACCGAAATGATCCAGCAAAAAAAAAAAAAAAACATCAGGGAGGGTCCACTGACCCAGTAAGTGTTTTTGAACTTCCCCCACCCTTCTTTACTGTTGAGCATGTTTTCTACACAGGCACACAACCTACACGTTAACAACAAGAAAAAAAAGCAACCAAACAGAAAAAAAGAAAAATGGATCCTGCGTACTGCTGAAGGATTTTTTCTTTTTTGACTACTTATCGAACCTTTAAGGGCTGTGATTACAGCAAATACAGTGCCAACCCTTTCCTCTTTACCTTAACCAACCTACATAACTGACTTACAACGAAAAAAAAAACGGTCTTTCTGTACAGTAGGTCTGCTCTTTGCAGCGGTAGAATTCATGATGCATCCTCAGTACCCATTATAACATATGCATTTAAACCAAAAGAAAACAACACAATAAATATCAATAAATAAACATCTGCAGAGAAACGGCTCAGACCGTTTCGCCATGCACGAAAAAAATAAGAACGAAAATCATTTTAGTACCAAAATGCTCCTATTTAGAGGATTAATCTCAATATTTTCCACGACATAGAAGGCTATAACAGTTCAAGTATAGATGTAGTCTAATGAATCAGAAGTTAGTCCCCATGCCGTTCTCATTTCACAGTCTATGAACTAATTACAGATGAGCTACCCAAAGAAACATTCACATATAAACAATCAGAGCAACCACAACAAAAAAAAAAAGAAGAAGCAACAAATATATGTAGTGTATCATCATTATATATACTATACATATATATATCTATATATCTCTTTGAATATCAGAAAATATCTACTTTTGGTCCACTGTACAAAGATGATCTTCAAACAGGGAACAAAGGATGAAGCCTTTTTATGAGCTAAAAACTGAAATGAAAATGTATCAGAGGTGAGAGAAAAAGCAATGCAGATTTTCTCTATCGCGTTGAGATTTGTGCAGTACAGTGGTGTGTGTGCAATAAGGTTTGGTGACTGTGCTGCACGCGTCAAAGGGCTGGCACCACTGGTTTGAGGTAGGGTGACTGATGGATGTGTTCCAACACATACACACACAAGCACGCAGACACACAGGCAGACGCACACACACACACACGCATGCACATAAAAACACAGGCGCAGACCTACCGCACGCATCCACGTTCGCACGCACGCCACGCCACGCATACACGCTTCACCCGATAGCAAAGGCTAATGCAAGAATAGGCCTCAAGAGGGCAGAGTGAGGGCAGGAGCAAGGCTTAAAGACCGTGATTCAGAGAAGTAACGAGCTTAGTAAGAGCTGATCCAGAGAAGAAAACAACAGGTGTGTCTGTGCCTGCATCCCTTGGTCTCAACACTGATGAGCCAGCCCAAATCCAGCCACGAGTCACCAGAAAAGCCAAATCTGTGGCTGGGACAATGCAGAGGGGCTGTGGGCTCTTTACAGCACACAGTCAGGACTACATGGACAGCTGCATTTAAGGATAAGGCACTATGATAAAGCCGAGGTACAATAAATCCCTGACATTCCTTCTGCTCTGCAACATGGCACTGTGGGACAGGAAACAGTTTTTTTTTGTTTTTTTTGTGTGTGTGTGTGTGGCTCCCTCTCCGATTCCTCTTGTTGGTGTGTGTGTTTTTTTTAAGTTTTTTTTTTTGGTCCACTGCGAACTTAAGACAGAAACTGCGAAACCGGGGGGTAAACGTGTCCAGTAAGTTGTTTGCAAGATTACAGCTCGTCACATAAACCACACTACAGAGCGTCTAAAATGAACAAAGGCAAGCGATATGCACGGTGTGCATAGAAAAGCTAGCGTTGAGGAAGTGTTTTTTTTTTCGTTTTGTGTGTTTTTTTTAACAGCCTTTCTTCTCAATCTCATTTCTATGTACAGGAGTAGCAGCACAGACATTTCTTTAGGGGGATCTTTTTCTGTGGCTAAAAGCTATGAGTGGTTATCCGCAGGTGGCTACCAAATGATCTTCGAAACGGAACAGACAAAACTGCCCCGTGATCCTTATTTAAATGTCATACATAAATAGAAAGTTGTCCCTTTGTTTTTTTTAGCTACATACAATACTCAAAAAACATTTTGTTCAAACCAAAAGTGTATCAGCAGTTGGAATGCATGTCGACAGAAATCATACTAAAATTAGGAGGGATAACTAGAGAGTTAAAACAAAACAAAACACAATGATAGCACCATGAGTTTTGGGTAATACCAATTGAAAGAACAGCAAAAACTATGTACAATAGGTGAGTCGATCAATGCCTTTGCTCCACTGGGACTAGTGACGTGGATTTGAGCTCTGAGACATCAGTAGTTTGAAGGAGTTGAATTTTCCTTCGCAATAAAACCCATCTGTATACAAAGACAGAGGCGGTACCTAAATGGGAAACATTTAACGGGTCAAATTAAGTCCTTTTCCTCCAGGTCCCTTCCACCGGCTGCTGCATTGTGTTAAGAGCACAGACTTAATGGGATGACAGCACATCCAGAATCTAAGCAAGTCAGACAAGGACAGCACATCTTGGCCAGAGCATCACCATTTTCATCACTCCTCCTCCACTGACCAGGCTGGATAGGGAACGGAGAGCACGTCCACACAAGTGCAAAAACAGAGACAATGCATGGAAAAGACGCAAACATCGAGACTTACAGAGAGAAAGATATGTGGAGAGTGAGACAGCGAAAAACTGGGGGGCCACAGGGGATCGGCCGTGCCTTCAGACCCTCAAACGGAGGCGTAGGTGTTGCCTGTGGTGCTGCAGTGACGGATGGTGGGAGTGCCAGCGGAGGGGGTTAGGATGTGCTCGGTGTGGTCCTGCGGGGGCTGGGGCAGCGAGTGGAGGACGCCCGGCTGGACGACGCCCACCACGGGGTGAGACCCGTCCTCGAGCGCCCCGACCTGGATCACCTGGATTACCTCGTGTTCCGACTTCTCCCGTTTGGCGAGAGGTTCCCCGGACTCCTCCGTGTCCTCTTCTAAGTCACTGTCCATCCCGCTCGTTTCATCTAGACGGGAGAGAGCAGGGCATGCATGAAAAACGGATGTGGAGGTCATGAAGAGTCACTGGAGATGCAAAAAAAAAAAAGTTGGTATTTTAGTTTATCATTCAGTGGTGGGTTCTACTGTCCCACAAACACTTATGTGCCATTTTCATGCACACACAGTGTATCTGTGCAATATATTTGCATCCATTTAGGTTCCATATGTCAGTACAACATCCATCCATCCATTATCAAACACCATTTCATCCTCTGTAGGGTCGCAGCTGACTCAGGGTGAAGGCAGGGGACACCTGGACAGGTCACCAGTCTATCACAGGGCTACACTTAGAGACAGACAACCAAGCACACTCACATTCACACCTACAGACAATTTAGAATCACCAATTAACCTCAACATGTTTTTGGACTGTGTGGGAGGAAGCTGGAGAACCTGGAGAGAACCCACGCTGCACAGAGAGAACATGCAAACTCCACGCAGAAAGATCCCGGGTGTCCTCACCGGCGACCTTCTTGCTGTGAGGCAACAGTGCTAACCACTGAGCCACCTTGAAGCCCTCAGTACAACATCAAAAATAAGTATCAAGCATACTGTAAAATGAGTGGTTTGGCTCAGACCACTGCCTGGCCCTCACCACTCAATATCACATTTTTGCTACATCAGGTCTCAACAAGTAAACGATAGTCAAAGCTCCTGCTTCTATTTGTATTCTACATGCTCACATCTCTCAAGAAAAGCTGCTCAAAACCTGTGTTGTCTTGTTCGGTTTCATGCTTCCTGCACTGCTGCTACAGGGGACCAATTATGTCAGTTCTTTGATCAAAATCTAACGCTAAAAAGGATCCCTTTTCACAATTAAGGATATGAAAATTATACACGGATGAAAGAGTAAAACACTTATGAAATACAATCTGAGCAGCTCATTATGTCTGTCTGTGTGGTCACACTACGGTCAAAAATGTGGTAGAGTTCTCAGTTTCTGTACATTTTGCCACATACCTTTATCAATGTTGGTAAGGGATAAGGTGTTGAGGCTGTCAAACTGTAAAGAGATAGAAACAAACATCAGAAATAGAGGCACTATCAGTGTTTCACATTGTTTTATGAACACTGCCATTTATTATAGTGTAGCACTAACTATGAAATGCAATTAAAACAGCAAACAAAACAAGTCCTGTATCCAGAGAGTTAAAACAAAAAGAAGAAAGAAGACAAGATGCCACATTTGTACCTCCCCCATGACACCAATGGGTGTCTCTCCAGTAGCTTGAGCCACACGATGTTCCACAAGGTAAAACATGTATTCGTCATACAGCAGGCGAATCAGGTGGAAGGAACCGAAGCTGGCAGCACTGCGCAGGGTCAGGTCCCTGATCACCATAGAACTGCAGAGACATGAAGCAGAGACATGAAGTATCCTGTCTCTCGGGAGCAATGCTTCTCATTGTCATTATGGTTGTTGTTTTCTTTTTTTTTACAGACCTGTAGAAGGACCATTTAAGCAGGAACTGTCGAGCTGCTCTGGGGAAGCTGGGCCGGTGCTCGTAGGGCTTGAGCACCTGAGTGACCACATTATCCAGCCAGGCTGCCCACTGCTCCAGAGAGCTTTGCTGCTGTAGTGTGGCCTTGAAGTCCTGCTCCAAGTGCTGAACCACCCCCTCCTCACACTGGCACACCCATGATGCCTGCTCCTATACGGCACCATGAAGAAAAAACTGGAGGTTCACAACTGTACACTGACAGTAAACAATGTCTATTTTTTTTAAAGTTATTTTTTTGGCCTTTGTGCCTCTATTGGATAGTGTAGTCAGAGAGAGACAGGAAAGTAGGGGAGAAGACATGTGGGAAAGGGTCATGAGCGGGATTCGAACTCATGACCTCCACATTGGGACTGTAGCCCTGCACATGGGACGCCAGCTCAACCAGGTGAGCTATAGTGGCATCCCAAAATGTCTATTTCTTTGACATAATGGATAATAGAGAAATATTCAAACATAACAAAAGCCCCACCGCTGAACATCCAAACACAGAGAACTGCACTGACCTGTACATTGGCAAAGTCAACACGGTTGAGATCACTCAGCATCTGGTTGATCTGTGATGTGTTTTGCAACACGGCGCGTGCCGCCTGAGCCAGGTGGTTCAGAGATGTATATCTGCGCAATGTTTGCGCAAAGGCACTAACAGCGGCAATCTGTGAAAAGAATGCACCCAAGAGCCCAAGTATTACCTACTGTACGTATACACACCTTTCACAGCTGATGATAAAGTATATATATATTTTTGATGAATGCTGTGGTGTACCTTGGTCTGGATCATTCTCTGTGGAATGGCATTCATGGCATTATTGAGCCAACCTTCCAGGCTTTTGGCAAAGTTGCGAATGGCTTGAGTCAAGGCACCTGATGAACAAAGCAAACGAATGACAGTTGTGATACTACAAACTTTAACACAATAGTAACATGAGAGGTGTCTGTGACTTCAGCGTACTGGGAATGGGTCTCAGGACATCAGGAATGAGGATCTCCACAAGGGCCTGGTACATTAAATGGTCACAGGTGCTCATCCACTTGAGTACGGCCTCATTTCTGCACAGCACCATCAGCTGTGATCGGGGGAGCCGTGCTTCAATCTCACTTATGCTGCTGCGGAAAGAACAAACCGGACTTACACAAGATGCTTTCGAATTTTCAGAAAAGCCTAAAATACACGATATCCAAATGTATACTTGTGAAGTGTGTTGTGGTACCTAATGCTTCTGTCTGACTTGACCTCACCTGTTTTCTGTTACGGTGGCACCCTCTACAGTGTCAGGGGGTGAATAACGCCAGAATGTCTGCCAAAGCTTCTCAATTAGACTGAACTGGAGGTTGACAACCACATCCAGGATAGCCTGAAACAGAACCGGAGAATGAAGGATTAAAAATGTCTCGACTGCAACAACTTTCTACAAAACGAGAAATGAATCGGTTGACAGATTTTACCAGAGAAACAGATAATGTCAAATGTATGTTTTAAGTGTTTTGAGAAGCAAAAATGAAACTCCATTCATCTCCACTGTACTGGCAAGCAGAACTCTCATACATGGACATCTCACAATATCAGATCATTAACCCCAAAGTAGCTGCATGGTTAGACACTACTAGGGACTTGTCAGGAAATATGTTTTGTTCTTCCTTGCAATTTGGATGAAATGACTGTTTAAAGCCTTGAGGATCAAGTCGTGGATGATGACTTGATCCTTAGTTTCCAGACATCATGGGAGCTGTGCTTAAAAACTCCACAACATGAAAAGAAAATATAGTTTCAAAATGTCAGCCGCTGGCATTTAACGCACCTCGGTCACCATAAACACACGTGACCTTTCCAAAAGTCTCCTCACTCTCAGTCAAGCCAAACTTTGAATGGGTGAACTTTTAGCAATTTTGTAAAACTTATGTTCAGTGTTTTTTGTCTTCAAATTAAAGACGGTGTAAATAAAATAAACTCTCTCAACCTCACTGGCTTTTTGACTTTATTGGATAGGCTAGTTGAGATAGAAAGACAGAGAAGTGGGGGAGAGGACTTGCAGGAAAGGGCCATAGCGGGATTTGAACCCATGGGCGCTGTATCAGGGACTATAGCCCCTGTACGTGGGTCACCAGTTCAACCAGTTGAGCTATCGTGGCGCCCCAGGCATGTTATCTTTTTAAAAACTACCAAAAATGGCAAGCTTTCCAATGGTCTATGCACTATTCATTGGTCATGTGCTGCTCCATTGGAAAGCTTACCTAAATCCAAGCTTTAAACTGATATATTCCATCAAAACCCTTTTATTGTGTTAATAAAAAACTCAATGAACAGATTCTGTACAAAAAAATAAAACTTCAGCACTCCTCGGTGTAACTGAGAAGCCATTAGTGACCCGGCTACGACCGGTCATGCAATAAAAATTCAGTGACTTTTTGGCTGAACTGGCCTGAACTGCAGGCTGTGTTTACATAGAACAGAGAGGAGACAAGTATGGAAACAAGTTCAAAATGAGAGTAAAGAGTAAGAAGAGAAGGAAGTAAAATATCTATAGTATGTAGTATGTTTGTACGGTATTAGCAACACCTGTGGGCACATGGGAAAAGGCTGCACAGGCTGATTTGCGGCTTTCTTTAACTTTCAGCTTTTCCTTTTTTAAGATTAATGGCATCATAATTTTACCATAAGGCACAAAAGAATGTTTCAGTTCTCTCTACTTTATACTATAGTTGTGGTGCTTCCACTTTATAATGGTGAAAAAAAAAAAAAGCTCACAGTGAGTGAAAAACGTGACAGGAGCAAAGAAATGGCCAGATTTAGAATAAAATATTAAATTGGTGGAATAAGATACATGACAAATATGACATGAAAGAATTAGAAACTTAACAGAAAAATAGGTGAAACAGGTCAGGGTGGTGAAATACAGCTGTCACGGTGACTACATAAAGCCATATGTTGCTTCTCTTGTTGGATCTCAGCCGTCTTTGACGAAAGAAAAACAATCCGACTCCCTGTTTCCACTGTGGTTTACACTTAGGTGCCAAAATGTGCTGCGGTGATTTTACAGTGAATATCAAAAGGATGCACTTGATCTAACCTCACAGTGCTCTCTGTAAAGGGACTGGAGAGCTTTCACGTCCTCTGGGCTGATGTTCTCTGTATTGCTCTGCCCCAGGTCCAGCTCTACAAAGTCAGGGAGTGCCCGTGATGCATCTGTTGGGAATTAGGGAAAATTAAAGAGAGAGAATAATCTAACAAAACAGTAAGATTCAGTATATTTCAGTGCATTTTTTCCCAGTTTTACAGACATGCAGATTCAGAGAAAAGCTGCTGACCTAGAAACTGCTGGTGTTGCTGGCTCTGCGCAATGACCGTCTGCTCGGCTGCACCGGGGTGGTGCTGCCCTCCACCTGAGAAATTCTCCCCAGAGCCGCCATCAAACTTCTGAACCGGTTTAAACCTGAAATCAAAATGGCTCATTTCAGTGTCTGTGAAAACTATGACTTGTGTCACAGCAGGTACTGCACGCCGGGCTGTCTGTGTTCTACCTCTGTTTCTGCTGAACAGGTTGCTGCCTGAGGGCCATGTACTGCATGTCTTCTTGGAGTCTGTTGAGTGGGGAGTCTGGTTTCACACGTATACCATAGTAATGATACTTGGAGTTTCCTCTGCAAGACAAAACCGAACGTTAAAGCCACTGATAGAGTCTCAGTGTGAAATTGAGCAGGCAAGCAGACTACTAAAACATGAAAATCTTGCATCTTCAAGCTAACAGCTTGAGAAAAGCTAAAAGTAGCAAACCTCGTCCCAAGGCGCCTTGTACGGAGTCCCATGAAGATGGAGCGGATGAGTTTGCCAAAAGAGGCTGCATTTACAGGGTCCAGTTTCTGCTCCTGGCAGTGGCGCAGATAATGATTGTAGAGGGTGGATCGTGGTAGACTTACTCCCTCTGCTGTCTCATAATTGTCCAACAGCCACTGGAGCTAAAAGGGGGAACACATGCTTATTAACTAAAGAGATTCACACACTGGTCCGTGGAAAGACCTCAGGCCAACAGTCAGTAAACTTTATGCTGCTGCTCTGCAAAAGCTTCTATAGCGGCCAGTAAATTTAAAGCATTTATAACAATTAAAACCAGCAGCAAAAAAACAGCAAGCACCACACACCAAACTCAAATGTACAGCGATTCGAAAGAGGCAGAACAGCAAGAGTGTGAGCTCAGCAAAAGTTACGGTTAGGCGAGAGCAAGCATTCGTAAAAGCAACTTACATGGCTGTTGAGCAGCGAGCTTCTCTGACTGGATAAACCCTCAGATTTTTGGAGCGTCTCAATCGCCATTTCAATCTGATAAACCACGAAGCACAGGACAAAAAAATGTAAGAAGGGGGGAAACAAAAAACAAAAGCAAGAGAAACAAAAAATGAAACACATTACTGGCCACGAGCAAAAAAACAAAAAATAAAGAGAGAGAGAATCTAGAAAAGATCCAAAGGCAAGCACCACTAAACCCAAGCAGAGCAGGACTAGCTGTCATGTCAGGGAAATCTTTGCCACATATTCTAATTGCTAAAGAACATCGATTGTGGATAGCTGTCTGTCACGCAACCCTTCGGGATTCCTCGAACACAGATCCACTTAGAGTAACTGTCGTGTCGTAAAAAAACAACAGATTAAAGCGGTATGCCAGGAAGATTTAGTAACACCTGTACATCACCCTCCAGAGTGACACCGAGAAGCTGGTTCATGCCTTCAGGAGAGAAGCCTAATTGGGTATCGGCATTTTTTTTTTTTACGAACAGCTTAACGTCCATCAAACACATACAGTGACAGAGATAATCGCGTGTGACGTGAAAGAGACAAGATGCAGGAAGAACAACGTGCTGACTGCATTTCTGGAGAAATTTATGCTGTGGGTGTTGTGGGTGATTTAATTCGTGCTGATGATCAGCACTGAAAACTCAAGCTCGAGTAAGGGTGACTGCATGGTGTATACAATTGATTCTAAGCGGCTGACTCGGGTCATTACAGGACAAGAAAGTTTACTTGTAAACTTGCTTGGGAAAAATATAGACTTTAAAGAAAGAATTGCTGGCATCAAATCAACTGGATGTGCTTTATATAATATTTTTATGAGCGGGTAGTTTCTTCGGCGGTAAAATATGCACTTGCACACATTTTGTGTACATAAAAAAAGTCATTATTTGATGTTAAAACTCTCTGCTATGACTGACAGCCACATAATATGTAATACCAGGCTCTACATTATATGCCCAAACCATCATTTTGGTTCAATATAGAGCACCATCATACTAAAAGAGTGAGGCTGTTGTAATGTCTGCTCACTCCAACACAAGGACTCTCATGAAAATCAGATGTGCAGTTGTGATTTCTTGACTATTCCTCTACACCTGCCACTTACTCCCTCTTTTCCTCGACACCAAAGAAACAACAAACTAATGCAATCACAGACAGAAACCAAGCCCTGTTCTACTTCAACGCTAAATATTAAAAGGTTACATGATCATTGCTCGCAGTAGTCAGATCACCACAGAGACATGGACCCAGCCCACGCAGCGTGTTGCACGCATCAGCAAAAGATAATCGCCAGAGATAAAACACCACGGCACACAATCACGGAGGAGGAAACGCACGCAAAAGTTGCTTCTTTTTAATACGGCGTGCTATCAGCGCTATACGTACGCGCTGAAATTTTGCAAACATGACACAATTATCGAGTTTAAATATGGAACTCCACTTAAGAGACTGGTGACCTACATTTCGGATCAAACTGGTGCAGAGATCAATAAAGTATGACAGAAGCGGAGCATCTATGCTAATAGGCAGAGTCTAGGCAAACTAATAGCTGTGTGGTTCTTAATGGGGGGAAGTCATAGAAGTTACTACAAAGTCACTGCAGAGGGCTACACACACACACACACACACACACACACTAGTCAGAACGAACACACGAAAGCAGGCAGGCAAAAGTAGGCGAGGGGCCCCGTTCGGTGGGTGCTGCGCGACTTACAGTAGCCGGGGAAGCTCGTGCGGTCTGGGTGGCGGGGTGGGGTCCAGCGTTGTCCATGAGGTAAGCCCCAGAACTGCTGCTGATTACCTGACCCCCCGTCAGACCCATGCTCATTCCTCCAGTGCCCCCTCCTCCGTTGTTGGTCATGCCATGAGATGTCACCACGGTGGACACTTGCGACGAGCTGCCCTGCGTGTCGAAGTAGCTCCCTCCGCTGTTCTGGCTGTACAGCTGCGGCTCTGAGTACGAGTAGGTTCTTCTGTTCGGAGGAGAAGTTAGCAGTCAGTCAGTGAGCTCAAACTGAGAACCAGCAATAGACACATAATAGAAGTACTTTTGTTGTTATATTCAAATTAGCTGTTATTTTACTTGTTTTTGAATAAAAAAAATACATGTCAGCAATCATCAGCACTGAGGTTTCCACCAAGGGGATCAATAAAGTTTTATTCTATTCTTCTATGTTAGTCCAAGTATGTTTTTGGGGCTATATATGAATAATTACACGTTTATTAATGCTTTTGTAGTCACAGTCAAACAGCTACTATCACAACAAGGCCAATCTCAAAAGCTTTTAATTGTTCTTTTATCAAAACTTTTCATAACTATCACATACAATCATGACTCGATAATCCGACACTAAATTTGCGGGCTGCTTGCGGACTGCTGAAGCTTATAGGGAATCCAAATGTTTTGGATTGTTGGGTGTTTCTGTCTCTGCCTTTGTGAAGCGCTATGAGATGACTTGTTGTTGTAAATATGCACTATACAAATAAAATTGAATTGAATTGAATTGAATTAAATGTAAAACCTTCTTTTATGTCAGATAGCAAGGCTGTCGGATTGTCAAGACGGAGGTCGAGATACAAGGAGGGCTTGATGCTTAAAGTGTCATTTGTTGTTCATTATTGTTCATAGTTGTTATAACAACTAGTAGGGCTGGTCCGAATATGGTCTTTGGATATTCAGGCCCAATTAATGATGAATATCCAAATATTCTGAGCGGTCAGGGAGGACACTTGCATCCCGAGGGAGCGCTCTGACGAGGTGGAAGTGGCCGGAACGTATAGGCAGCACTCTGCTGCTGATGCCAGTTTAGGATATCGGTCACACTTCCATGTCCAATATCGGTGGTGGCGGCGGTAGCAGCAGCAGCAGCCACTCCCCCGCAGCCGCCATCCATCTATGTTTACTTCCCTAAACACTGAGCACGCTCACTGCGTCATTGTGTCCTCTTCTGCGCACGCGGGACACTTACTCGCAAAAAAAATCAGAATTCACAAAAAAATCCAAATTGAGCATGAAGTCCTACAGTCTGAACGTAGCCAATCTGTCGGATTGTTCAGTCAGATAATACAGCGTTATCCTTATTTGTGACATAAAATGTCATGTCAGAGTCAGAATCCAAGGCTGTCGGTATGTTAAGGCTGTTTTCTATGTGTTCCGTTCATTTTTCCTACAAACCTGTCGGATAGCAAGGTTTTCGGATTGTTAAGGGTCGGATCATCGAGTCACGACTGTATAATGTCAACACAAGCCGAGTAAACATGTCACGTGTTCAGCAGTCTGGTGGCGTCATCGTGTATTTCTAAGCACAAGTCTGCCGCTGCCCCTAACGTGACTGTTTCCACCAGCAGCAGAAGTCAGACAGCGTGTCTGTTTGTACATGCACCGATGTGTACGTGTTTCACAGTACGACAAACACAGCTTTGGCTTGTTAGCGTGTATGTAACCCCGTTCCTCAGGCCCAGGGGAGCCTTGCACAGCATCAGCAACTCGAAAGACAGGCCTACTTGTGGTCATGTTCAGGTGACTAAGCGCAATCGAGCACGTGACTACGCGCCCCTCAGAAAAGAAAGCAAACAACAGAAGGAAAAAAAACCCTCCCACCAACATCATGTGCTTGTGACATGAATGATGGTGTGAAGAGACTTAAGAGGAGAAAGAACAGGCCGTGGAGACGCAGCGCTAATATTTGTGGAGTGGTGTAAAGAGCAGAGCTGGGTAACAGGCTGACTCACATGTTGCCATTGGTGTAGACGCCACTGTTTTCCTCGACATACTGCACCTGTGCTGGGTAAACATGCTGAACCTGTTGAACAGTCTGGGCCTGGCAAGATCAGTCGCAAAGGTTGCAAATTAATTATCTTGTTTACTTCATTTGCATATGGCACTGACAAATACAGGCAGGCATCAGTGTGAGTACAGTAGGCACGCTTAGGCAGAAACATTCAGACATATAAAAAAAAAAAAGAAAAGACAAACAAGGTGGATGTACCTGCTGCTGGACAGGCACCTGCTGGGTGGAGCCGGTAGGCTGGACAGGCACGGTGGTCTGAAGAGGGACAGTGGAGGTGGAGTCAGCGCCTGCTTCAGGGGTCTGCATGGCGCCTAGATAACAGAAAAGGCTGGTTACGGTAAATTAATCTCAAATATTGAAAACCAGGAGCAATCTAAACCTACCGGTCAAACTGGCAAAGCAACTTCATAACTTAATAATGAAAACACAATTATGGCACAGAGGCAACACTCATGAGGTATCAGGGAATGATAACTCACTTCAGCAAGGATGAAATTTACTGATGTTGGTTTTTCTGGTCAACACTTTTGTTCCACCCTCTGATATTATAACAACTGAATAAACAGTAACACAAAAAACTTCAACTATGACACTAGCCTTTAATGATTTAACAAACTTTGCTCAATAGCCACACAAGAAAAAAAAATCAGTCACATTAAAATCATTGCATGGAGGAACCTAAATCCAATAATCATCCACAGTATTTGGGCAGCGCAGGACATTAAACATGCCTAAATGAGATACTAATCCAGGCCTGGTGGGAAGCATAAGGTGTCATCGTGGACCCCTCGTCTGTTTTACCCAAATCAATGCTGCCAAAGCTGCTTTAGACCGATTCTAAGCGAGCACCTGCTTCTGCCCCGTGGTACTCAATGTACTAAGAGCCTCATGCATCAGTGACACATGGTCTTGTCTCCACGTTCACAGCCATAAAACAAGTTAATATTTAACAAACTCCAAATAGATGCTGCTTCTCGTTGCTCCGTCAGCGCCTACTTTTCGCAGGTTGCTTCTGATTGAAAGTCAATGATGAGTGCTAAGAAGAAGGTTTGAAGAGAATCTGGCAAATTAGCCTCATTTTGTGTCTCTACCAGATGATTTAATTACCACTACTACTAATAAAAAGAAAAGAAAAGAAAAGAAAAGCTGTGTTGTGCAGAAGAAATGTAAGATGGTGTGTGTATAATTCTGAGCCAGGCTGAACTGAGCATTTTTTTTAAGATAAGGACCAGAGTGAGAAGAAACGCTGTCGGTGAACCTGTGTTTGTGAGTTAATAATAGTATGGCTACCATCACCCATTCCTTCCAGGGAAAGGCCACCTCCTCCCCATCACAGTTTCCATGAACAAGCCTCTCTTGGTTAATTAAGCTGGGTCTCCTAACAGCTTCAAAACTCTCCAGGGAAAGCTTGCCCCCTTCTCTTTACCTTTAATATGACACTGGGCCTTTTCTTGAGCGGATCACTCTATTCGCGTCGGGGTGACTAAGCTCAAAACTGGACTACAAAGCTCGAGTCAAATGTACCAGGTGTCCTAAAAGCAAGACGAGGAAAATCTGTGCTCTCCTTAAACACACACACAGAGGCAGTGGGATTCATTAAGCCGAAGCCCTCTGCTTTCAGCATGGCAGTTCTGAGCACCTTTGGGAGGGCGATATATGTATTTAGCGTCACTGTCGGACATGTCGGCGAGCTGTGTGGTTGGCGGAAAATTAAACTCCTATCCAGCTCAAATATTCTCTAATTTCAACAGGACACTCTGAGTAAGTGATGATTATCATTATGACAGCCTGGTTTGATTAACCCACATGCATCTACCCTGTAGTTTGAAAGTCCCTGAATGCAGGCTACCAAATTGATAAAAATCTCATACCACATACTCAAACTGCAGCCTTCGGCTTACTGTATGCCAATGCTAAAAAAAGGAATTGCACGGAGAGGAGAATGTACACTCATATTCCACAGTGCAGCGTGAAAGCTAAAGTACATGGCCCCAACTGAGCCCACCTAATCGAGGAAAAGAGCCCCTGCATCACACCACACTCTTGTTGCCTCACCTCAACCCCCTCGACAAAGACACAGACACACACACACACACACACTAACACACCTCCTGCCACACCATTCAGGCACTCCCTTGTGGCCCACTTAAATGCTGTGCTCCACTGAGCAAGTGCTAGCCCTACAAAGACACAGAGGAACAAAAGCCACCAAGGAGTGCAACATTTTGCCCTGAGTTTTCTCCCTTCAATTCCTCTTTGCTAATATCACAGGCAACAAATAGCAAAGCGTGCAAAGGTTCATAGTCGCAGCTGCCTGAAAACAAAAAAAAAGAGAGACTGTAATTTGCCTCTCTAATGATCACGTATGACAAAGCTGAAATAAGAGCCGACGAACGAGGTTGAAAAGTGAACGATGCACAAAAATCTAACACACAGACATGATCGGGTGCTGGTGGAGGGAGATGTAACTGATGGGGTGGAGGGGTGGGGGAGTATGCAAAGTACTGTGCTTGTTTAGTAGCTGTGTTTAAAGATTAGGAAGGGAACTGGGAGTGGCTTGTATTGTGCAGATTTTGACGTCGTAAACATTGAATCAATATGTGGGACGCTGTAAGTGTTCAACAGTTACCTCGTGTCATGGCAGCACCACCAGAAATGTGTTTGCAATCACAACACGGGTCGGTCCAACATGTGGGTTTCAGAGCAGAAAACAACAAACTTTAAGCCTCCGTTTTTATCTATAAGTTACATTGGCAAAAAATAAAAAAACCCAAACCAAACATGCTTGCTAAGCCACGAAAATGGCCGACTGAATAATTGAATTAATCAGCCCCTCTTTAAGTGATTGGAAATGCAACAGGATCCAGGCGGCAGGTGGCATGGTACTATTTCTGCCCTACTGGACCACAGGTAAGTGGTAACATGATCTGATAACTAGCAGTTCCCAACATCCTGTTTTGTTTGTGTGTGTATGAGCGAGTGCTTTGGAGGGAAGGGGGGGTGACCCAGTTTAGGTTGCCAAAAAGATGAATACATTTACAGTATTTTTTTGGGGGGGGGCTGCACTTACATAATGTTTACAGGATGCACGGTTTTTGACGAAACTGGTTTGGATTATGCTGACATACAAAAGAGCTTATTAGCAGCAACACACACGACTCACAACTTCAAAAGATAATTCTAGAGATTACGAGGGTCAGTTTTAGTGTATTTACAGCTAATTATCTCTCCTGTGGTGGGCACGTACAGATTAGCCTAAATGGTCAGGAGCACCTGTCCTCCCCTCACCTCACCACACACACACCTGTTCTCCCTCCTAAAGGGAATCAGAGGTTGAACACAGACCCAAGAGTCATTGTGATGCAACATTAAGAAACCTAGTTTATATGAAACACCAGCAGGATTACAGAAAATGCAAGTTGTGAGGAAAATGTACACAAGACATCTGACTGGAACAAGATGGGACTGAATTTTTATTTAAGTCAAATCAATCTGGTAAAAGATCTCCTTCCTATACAGCATCATAATGAATTCAATATTTTTTTAGCGCATAAAAACACACGCATGTATATAAAGATAGCAAATTTGATTCCAACCTCTAACTTTTTTTTTTTAGTTAATATTTCTGCATTGCATCTCTATTGCGGAAGGGCTGGATGGACCGATAACAGCCCCGTTTCCAGTCTGTGCAACACAGAATAACCAAACGATTGAAGAAAACATTGCGGAAATTTAATGTACACCCTTTAAAGCGTTATTTCCCCCCTAAATCTGCCCCTTGCAAAACTTCCCCCTGTGTTATCAGGCAGCTTATCATGGCCATCTGATGCCACAAAGAGGGCAGATGGAAAGCTAGCGAAGCTATCTTGCTCCCTAAGACAAAAGGGAAAGTAATGGCTTAGCTATTGTCAATAGCAGTTAGTGTGTGGAGAGCTAGCTCACAGCACTTTCCATTTCCCATCGACGTGCTGATTTCGTGCGACTAACTAAACAGCCGAACACACCCGAAACACAAACTCGCCGTAGCATTACCCCCCCAAAAAATATAAGGATACCGACAGGAATTGTCAGGAGGCATCGCTGGCGTTAGCAACCTAGCAACAACAGACACCTGCTCCTGCTCCAGCTGACCAGTTAGCATCACTGACTAGCCCAGAGCCAAAGCTACCACACAGCATGGCAGCTTTAAGCGAATAAGTTCCCCCCAGAAAAGCATATTTTTTTTTCGCCAAAGTGAACACGCTCGGGTTTAGTTTTTTTAGCCTCAAAGCTCGCAGTGAGAGGACACGGCTAGCTGCTGCTAACGAGCAGGACCTCTCTCAGCAGTGGGTATCTACAGGCAACGCTAGCAAAGCGGGCTAACACGTTACAAAGAAACACCCTTGCTAGCAAACTACCCCAGCGAGCCTTCATTCAAGCAAGCAGACAAAAACACAAGCCGAGCGCAATTTATATCTCAAAATGCTCCGGTGACGCCAGAAACGACATGCATTCGGGCTAAAAATAGCAAAGAATTGAATCAAACCTGAGCTGTGGACTGGTTGATGAAGATGAGGATGGTGGAGGAGGTGGTAATGATGGAGCGAGAGGTTGTTGTTGGTGGGTTACAGTCGCCAGGACTACGGTGACTATGGCGCTGCTTCACTGGGCAACAGTTGCTATAAAACTCACCGGCAGCGCGCAACCTTACCAGGCAGGTGGGAGGAGATTAAAGCGCACTTAAACCTTAATGGAAATATAAAAAAAAAAAAAAATAAATAAAATCACACGGAAATACACGCGTCCTGGCTTCGCTTGCGAGTCTGTTAGACGGCTGCTCGTTGCAGGAGGAGCTCACTGGTTTGGTCTGATTTAGGTGTCCTGCAGACTTTCGAGAATATGTTAAAGGGATGTTCGGATAAAGTGCCAAATTTGTTTGCTTGAGCTGAGATCTTTCGTAATTCTGCGAGATGTTGTAGTCTTTTGGTTTCTGTCAACACTTCATCAGGCTGCCGAACCCTAAGGACCTCCATAATGTGATAATTTGAGTTATTTTACTATCATCTGATCTGGCCTTTTGCTGCTGATGATTCATGGTGATGATTTAATATTTTTGCTGCACTCATGTTTGTTTGTATTGTGACATTCTGAAAATGAGGGAATTTATTAACATTTTATCATCATTATTAGGCTTTTTTTTTCTCCCCCCTGCACAGAAAAGGCTGCTGAGATGTGGATTAACTCCTACAAAGGGAAAAAAAATGTGTCCCTGAAGCTACTGCTTTAACCCGTGCTGGTATTTTGTCTTTGCTTTCATCTTACCTTCATGATTTTTGTCTTGACTTGTAGCTCTCTTGTGGTGCGACTTCAGTTTGCCACACGTGTTTTGCATTTATCAAAAGCCAGACGGGGACACAGTTAAAGAAAGCAACTATCATTAACCATCACACCACACATACACACCTGTGGGATATTTTAAACTGTTTCCAGTACAGCACATGCCGTAGCTCTTTTGAAATCATTTACCATGAAGTTTGAAAATTACCAACCAGATCTTTTTATTTTTTCTATGAAGGGATGGTGTAAAGGCAAAACTGTGTTTCAGCAATAAGTGTGAATTTGTAACCAGACATGTGCAAAATCAGTTTCCAGTCCGTCCTGTTCAGCATACCTGGTGGATGAAAGGTCAAAGGTCATTGCCATTTATGAGCCAACGCCTTGCATTTCTGCAATGAGTCCCGCCATCCTGTCTAGCTTTCAAGGTAATGGTTGCATCTCTCTTTATGGACAATTCAATGCTAGCAGTGCAGGTTTTATCCAACAGCTGCCTCAAGTGCAAATATCCATCCATCCCTGCCTTATCTGTGGGTGACTGGGGCCTATACCAGCTGACACTGGGGTACATCCTGGACAGGCTGCCACTCCATCATAGCACCCTAAAATCCACATTTACATCCATCCATCCATCATCTATACACCGCTTAATCTTCACTAGGGTCGTGGGGGGGCTGGAGTCTATCCCAGTTGACTCAGGGTGAAGGCAGAGGACACCCTGGACAGGTCACCAGTCTATCACAGGGCTACACTTAGAGACAGACAACCAAGCACACTCACATTCACACCTGCGGACAGTTTAGAATCACCAATTAACCTCAACATGTTTTTGGACTGTGTGGGAGGAAGCCAGAGAACCTGGAGAGAACCCACGCTGCACGGGGAGAACATGCAAACTCCACGCAGAAAGATTCCGGTGCCCCAACCGGGACGTGAACCAGCAACTTTCTTGCTGCGAGGCAACAGTGCTAACCACTGAGCCACCCTGCAGCCCTCCACATATACAGCCAAGTTATAATCACAAATGAGCCGACCATGTATGTGCTTGAACTGTGGGAGGAAGTTGGAACCCCCAGAGAAACCCGATGCAGGCAGAGGGACAACATGCAAACTCCACACAGACAGGCCCCAAACCCAGCATCAGTGTCTAAATTAGTTGTTTTAGTAAAAAAAAAAAATTCACCTTCGCTAAGTATTTACAATAATGTTCCAGCTTTGAGTTATTGCACCACTACTTGCCGTGTTGTCGGACCAGTACTGTGAGTGTTTTGTGGATATTGTCATAAAGATGTTCATAAAAATGAAATTAAGTGCAACAAGTTGAAATATTTTAGCACAAGTGCAGCTAAAAAAAAAAATTCATGCAAAACTTTCAAATTGTGAACAGTGACCAAACAAAGCCGGCATTGTTAAGAGACTTCTTACTGGGTACAAAGCTTAACCAACCACCTGTGCCCACTGCACAGCACTTTTTTTTTTCTTTTTCTTTTTCTTTTTTTTTTGATTAGCAGCACTAAACAGATGCTTTTTGGAAAAGCTGTTGTTGTTGTTGCTAAGCAACTACTGAAACCCCCATCTGAAGCATGACACTCTTGCTAAAAGAATTATATTCAAGTAAAACAGTTTGTCCTTTCAATTTCAAACAAGAAGAATAACTGCTGTGAAGTCTGGTGCCAACTGGCTTTTATAGTTTACCACAGCCAGTGGTTGCTAATTATGTCTGCGATTTATGTTAGCTTATTGCTTCCGCCGTTTCATTGTGTTGTTATTCATACTGCTGCAACCTTGTCTCGTTTTGTTAAAACACAGATAGAGAAACTGATTCTATAGCGAGACGCCGACTTGAACAATTAAACGGATTTATTCTTGAATGAGGTTTATAGCAAAGCTGCTACTTTATTTTTTCTTCTTCTTCTAATGATCAGCCAGAGCATTTTTTAAAAAGCCGCTATTCACACTAATTTTTCATCATTATTTTTGAGATTCTCAGATGAGTAGATCAGTGGTTTTGCCCTTGAGTGGGAGAAAAACAGATTATTTAAAAGGCGTAAGTTAACATCTTTTGCCTTTCATTTATATTTTGCAATAAAATTTCTGAATTTGTGCTTCTTAATATGTAAAGGCATGCACATGTCTTCAATAACCTTGTAAATGTTCTCTGTGCTACACTTTTAAAAAAATTTGATTCGAGAAGCAAAGAGTACAAATGATTGACTTCTTTTTCTTGAACCATCCAAATATATAAAAACCACAGAAGTGTCTTTGCACATACGAATCATAGATATTTTGTATGTATATTAGTACTTATAAGTTTATGTATTCATATATATTAGAAGGCTGCGGATCATTTTTAGAATTTTTTCTAGTTCTTTTAAAATCTTATGGACATTTTAATGCTCGCACAATTTAAAAAAAATAAAAAAAAGTGGAGGCTTTAACTGTACTTTTGTGTTGTGTCCATGACTGTTGTTTTGTTTTTTGTTTAAGATTGTATTGCCACTAAAATACAAATAGGATGGGAGCATTTTGCACTACAATCCAACTCAATAAATACAAACACAGCTACAAAAATTAAACCAATTAATCACAATAATAATGTATTTGTCTCACTCAGATTTTCAAGTGTCCACAATTCTCTTTTCTCTCTGTATGGAAATAAACTGAAATGGAGAAAAAAAAAAAAGAGGTTTAAAAATGTACATCATTGCTTGCCCAGAGGGACAGCTATAATGTTGAAGTGCAAATAAATTGCCGTGTGAGAAACCCAACACATTTCAAATCACTGGTGTGGTCACTGACACAAATCAGCCTGGAGATCTAGGTGCAGAAATACTCACACTGCGCATTAGTATAGTCAAACAACAGGTTATGTGTATGAACAGTGAAATGGTAAGGCTGTCTTGTTACTATAGTTACAAAGCCACGGTTCTAAGAAAAACCTTAATAAATGATCCCTTGCATACTTTGCTTTGATTGCAGTGTTGAATATTGTGCAAAATGTCATCAGAAACTACTTAAAGTACTTACTACACGCTATACACGACCTGTATAAAAGCTGAGGGAGTAAACATTCAGATCCTAAAGGCGTTACTACACATCGATCATGGGGGGAAAAGAAGCCAGTCGAGTCAGACGTTTAAAGAGGTTTAGTGGAAGAGTCAGCTCCTTCGTTTTGATGCAGGAAGTGGCATCTTAGGCTGTTTTTTTCTCTCCATCTAATATCCTTTTATTTTGCTAGGGTGAAGCCAGGTCGCAGCCCTTCCCGTTAACCATCCCATTTGAATGATACAAAAATAGTGCAAAGGAAAGAAGCCCACAAGTGAGGAGTGCCATCCCTCTTAGATGCAGGAGACTTGGCTTGTGCAGTTAAAGAAATCCCCCTTCGTGTAATTCTTGACGAGCAGCCACGTCGTCTGCTTGGACGCCAAATCCTGCACATACAAAGAAACACATGTATGCACAGTCAGGTTTATGAAATCCAATAGCAATAAAGTGCTCATCCTACGGCAATTGTGTTTAGATTGTATTGCCATCATTTCAAGAGGTGTTTGTGAGGTGGTCACCCCTCGGGATTATTGACGGCGGTTGAAAAGCTGTCACCGAAGGCATCGA